ATATGAACTTTTATTTGTTTTTAACATGGAATGTTCAAAAACGAAAATAAAGCAAGGTGCAAAGAAAAAATATAACTGCTCTATTAGTCCTAGAAGAACTGTTTACCTTCTTAATTATCCTATAAACAAATTGCCAACAAACCAATTGTCTTCTGTGGGAAATGCGTAGAGTGAGGTTTTTTTACGGCCTGAACCTGAGGCTTTTTTCAGAGTTTAAAAGTAGATATTATCTACTTTTAAACTCTGAAAAAAGCCTCAGGTTCAGGCCGTAAAAGTTTCACATTGCGTGTCCACAAATATGCTTTGGATTTAAACTTGTGTGTTTTAAAGGAGTTTTTGTTAATCATTTTGGGATCAATTGTGTTGTTGCCGAAGTTATTTCTGTATGGATCAAAGCAGGTTTTGGAGATTATATTCAGAAAGGAGCTCAAGTAAGGTAATTAGTAACCTTTAAAATAATAAATATTTTTTCAGTTCGCACTTGTTTTTTGTTATCAATAATATATATTTTTTTATTATTTGCTTCGAGATAAATTTAAAAAGTTCATTAAAAAATACACTAAAATGCTAAAAATGAAATCACTTGAATTTAACGATAATACAAAACATAACATTCTAGTAGAAAAATTTAAGTTCGAATTAAGTATTCTTTTTGATATTTCAAAAATGGATATTGAGCTGAAATTAAGAGCAGCTAAAATGATCTAGAATTTATTAAAGACCAAATGAATGAAAGGAAAATGTTCATTGAGGAAAAATAAGATACAGTTTACAGAGGTAGAACTGAAAAAAGGGGACTCAAATTTCTAACTATAGAAAAACAAAAACAGAAATGGATTCATAGAGTTTAAGAAAGCCACGATAGTAGTAAATCAATTCGTAGTGAAAATTTTGATGGATTTGAAACAGCTGACTGCAAATTTAACTCTTCAACAGATGATGAATTTGACGAAAAACTTATGAAGATTAAAAAAAAGTAATTGTCAACTACTATGTTTTTAAAAACAATTTTTATTTATAATCAAGTATATATTTTATTTCCAGAACAACTTTATTATTAATAGAGGAATATTAACTCAACAACAAATTTAAACAAAAAATTTATTTATTAAACACTTTTAGAATAAAGAAAACGACTAAAGCAATCATAGAGCTTACTCATGATAAGCTTATTGAAGCAACATCAACTGTGGCAGCAAGATATAATATTGGAATACAACCTCAGACCACAATTATGTCTGCCATTATTTCTAAATTTAATGTTAATTTTAAAGAAATAAACATCTCTAGGTCTTCTTTTCACAAAAAACATTAGCTCTCTAGACTCTCCAGATTGTGATGATATATTGCTTGGGATTGTCCAATTAAAAAATGGTACTGGAGCATGCCAGGCAATTGAACTAATAAAATTATTAGAATATTACGAATGTGTTAATTAACTGCTTGCTTGCTGCTGCAATACAGCCAGTAGTAACACCGCGTTCACTGTAAAAAATGTCACGCCAAATTCTTAAATGTCCCATCATAATGTTTAAATTTCACGCCACTTATAAATCTTTATAAAGATATGTTTTAAGTCGTGCGACTTATTACAGTTTACAAGTAATTTAAATGTCGCGGAGAGTAAAACTGGTTAAATGTCACGCCATACTAAAAAATTTAGGTTTTATTAGGTTTTATTAGGCGCGCTAACTCATAGGTTTTATTAGGCGCGCTAAATGTCGCGTGACTAATAAAACCTATGAGTGTCCGCGGCGAAAAAAAGAAATATCACATTAATTAGTTTTTCGTGGTTATTCTGTAATTAAAATGTCTAAAATAATTAAAATGACATATTTATCGAAAGTTATGCCAGTGGTTTTGGCTGTAGATGATAATTTGTTCGCGCTTAAATCTAAAGGTAAATATTTCACCGCAACAAGTTTTATTTTGTATTGCATTACCATTAATACAATCTTTAAAAAATTAGCTAAAAATACACTCTACATAAATTATCATAACTTGTGACAGTAAAATAAGTTAATAACAGATCTGATATAAGTATTGTCAATGATATATTAAGAATACCTTTTCTTAATTTAAAATTGTTATTCTTAATACATCATTAAGTATTTTAAGCTCATTTTACAATGTTATACACTATGATTATCTTTACACAATGCCATTGTTTACACTGTCCGATTGTAAAACTTTGTTACTTTTCGCAACTGGATTGCCAATCGATTATTTCCAATTATTTTTGTTTAAAAAAACTTGATTACCTACATTTATTTGTGTTTCCTAGTTTCAGTATTCCAACCTGGCCTCACTAGCTTTTACAAAATTAGCATTTTTAATAAGACATGATGGTTCAAAAAACAAACAAATACGGAATTGATACACTGACTGTTATGTTGTATTAATATAACTGTTGGTATAATTTTGATATCATCTAAGTCCTGCTATTTTATTCTGTATTTGGCTACTCAAATGGTTCTGAAAGTTGCTTTAGTAATTTTTTCGCATTCCAATCAAAATTTCACGACAAAATTTCACAACTTTTAACAGAAAGAAGTTTTTTTTGCACTAAAATATATACTTTTATTGCACTAAAATACTTTATAACTATTTTCCTATGCGTTTAATTTAATAAAAAAAGATTTTTGTGATTTATTATTCATTATTTAATTCTGCAAAATAAACTTGTATGTTGGGGTTTTTTTATATTCATTGAAGGAAAATTGTCTCAGTAATATGCGCGTAAAATTGTAAAAAAATATAAATCCCTCTGAATTTATAATCTAGCAAAGTTGCAAATTTTAGATCAACATTTTTTATATATTCTATCTATATAGACCAAATCACATAGTTTAAAGAGTATAGTCTCTTGGTTTTCGAATTTTTATCATTTTTTGGGACACTCTAATGTACAAGGTGATCTTAAGATCTAAAGCGGAAGATCGTAGAAGAGTTTACATTTTTATCTTTGTGCCTTTTTAGTTTATAAAATCGTCGATTCTGATCAGAGCTTTTTTTCTTTCTTTTTTTAACTACTAAATCTTTATTTTTAAAACCTTAAAAGATGTTTGAAATTTTTATGAGTTTTATATATTTTTAAACCACAATTCAGTGCAGTATGTATTCTTCAACCTTCGAAACATGCAATCTATTTAATTAATTTTACGGATTGATACTATCATCCCAGACCATTTTTTTTTTTGTTAATGATGAAATAAAAATTCTCAGTATATACCAACTTAATGTTTTATGATAAAATAAATATGGAAAAATGGCTTATCTTTATCCATTTTTAAAAGATTTATGAACTTTTTTGTATTAAACCATTAAATAAATATGCACTTAAATATAATAAGATTATTTATGAACGCTTTGGCCGAAACGAGTTTAATCAGTTACAAGAAAATAAAGAATAGAGTAAAAAAGGAGGTAAAAGGTTGACAGAAGCTTGGCTTTGCTGAATGACAAGTATATTGAGAATGAGTTTTGGTTAATAGAACTAGAGATGATAGTATTTGTAGAAAAGAAATAGAGATGCAACTTTATGACGATGGGAGTTACATTTACAATACGTTTTAGGATCTTGTTTAGACCAGCCCAAATATAACAACAGTATTCAATGCAGGGACGAATAAGAAATTGGTAAAGATAGAAAATCAAACCAGGAGTAAGATAATGGCAAGCACGATACAGAAAAACATATCATATCAGAACTTTGCAATCAATTGTTTATATAGTAAGTCAAGAACGATAATCTAAAAAGATGCAAAAAAGAGTGTTCAACGAGGGGTTGCCATTAATATAGAAATGTCGACAGTATTGCGATAATTGTTTTAAATAAAAACTGAGTTTTTCTGGATTTAAATTTTTACAAACTACTGCAAGCCTCAATCTGTTACAGAAGTGAAAGATAGATTGCCTGTTTTAAGTCACCAAAAAGAGAAAACTTTTTGCCAAGACAGGAGTATAAAGTTGAGTAATCAGCAAAAAGAGCTACTTGTTATATATATATATATATATATATATATATATATATATATATATATATATATATATATATATATATATATATATATATATATATATAGAGAGAGAGAGAGAGAGAGAGAGAGAGAGAGAGGAAAAATGAAAAATTATTCCTCATCAAAAAAAAAAACTTTTTATAAAACGACTTAGTGTATATCGCAGCGGTAAGAAAAACATTTAATGGCAAGAAACCATCTCGTTTTAGATCAAAGTAGCAGCACAAAGCTAATTGATGACTATAACAACCAGTTTAATGTTCAAGCACATATAATAACGTTTGGTTGTGAATCTGAAAATGAGCAGCACATTTGAAAAGCAAAAAATGACAAAAAAAAAAATGAAGGAAAAAAAAGTAAATAAAAAATAGTAAGTCATTTATGTAATGATTCAGTACTAAGACTCAACTAATCACGACGAGTAGTCCTACTAATCACGTCACCTCAATATGTTTATTAAAATGATAAAAGCCATTTTTCTTTAATTTGAATAGGCTAGTACATCATATATAAGTCACAATTAGATTTTATAACATATGATAAGTATTATTACCATACACGATCACATACAAAAAGACAGGAAAACTATGTTTTGAAGATTTGAGCAAAATTTGTACATGAGCGATTTAACATAATTAACATAATTAACATTATTAGCGATTTAGCATACAGAGTAAAAATAATTTGAAACAAAACCTTTAAATGTTATATTTGTGACACAACTTTTATGTTTTTTGAAATACTTTAACTTAATCATAATTCGTCAATAGAATTCGAATAAAATCAAAAATGCTTTGGTGTTTAAGAATGGCGACCATCTTTATTACAGTATCTATGCGTTTAACAATTTTACTCAAATAACACAAGAATGCAACTATCGAAAGTACGTCCGCTAATTTCTATTAAAAAAGTGAATACGGGCATTCTATTTTATGAGTGATAAACTTTGAAATAGTTCAAGTAAGTACAGTCACAAAAAAGTAGAAAATATATTTTTTATATATTTAAAATAAATAATAACGATTTCAAATTTTAAAGTTTAAAACCATCATGAATTGAAACAACACCAAAAGTTAAATTGTGATACGTGACGTTACTAAAACCAGCGTTGTATATCAAATTGGAAAATGCTTCCTAAAATAAAATCAATTTGTGTTTGTAGTCAAGGACATTTTTTACATAAATTATCAAAGATAGTTTTAAAAATAAAAAAAACATCTTGTACTGAAAGTTTTAGTTGAATATTTACTTAAAATTTTAAATTGAAAGAATTATTAAAAATGATATATGATCTTGAAATTTTATAAATTCAAAAGAATCCAAAGTATCAATGACTCTTCTTAATGATCTGTTCTTGATTTTTATCTTTATTTTCATAGTTATTTCTTGCTTTAAAAAATAGTTGACAACTGCTGTCATTTTAATTTCATAACTTTTAGCATCTCAACTAACTTAACTATCAAAGTTAAGGTAAATTTCATTACAATTAATTCAAACACTGTTTAACTCGAACTGTTTTCTATAGTGCCTTGAAATCAAGAACAACTGTTTTACTTTGTTGAAGTCGAACATTCGTTTTTCGAACCGCTTTCGAGCTACTGGGACTTTACTGTATATAGTTTAAAGTTTCTTTTAAGATTCAATGAAAATTAGGAAATTGCGCTCGTGATCTACAAAGTATATGATTGATAAATTTAATATTTATATAAAATACTTCTCAGCTCTGAATGAGATCTAACAAGAAACTCTAAAGAATTGTTCAAATTAATTTAATCATATTTAAGTAAAAAAAATGAAGTAATCCAAATTTTTTAAGATTTTCTTTTTTATACTTTAATATTTTCAGTGTTCTTTTATTGAGTAATCTGTCACATAGCTGCATTAGTAAAGACAAATTTAGTTTTAAATGTGAAGACTTAATTTTATAGTTTCTTCTTAATAACTCCCCGGGGATTCTTAATCAAACTAAAATCTACAAAGATGTCATTTAAATTTAAAATGCTCTTATCTGCCATAAATTTCCTGACTTAACTGAACCCTGTAAAACTATTTGGTTACAAATTAGAACTTTTTTCAACACTTTTGAAATACTGTTTTTGAATAACTGTTTAAGGTTAAGAGTCCATCGTGCAAGTAACTGGCTAGAATGTTGCTAGTCTAGATGCAAAAAAACATCAAAAAACATCTTTTTTTAGGAAGCCAGATGCTCTTTCATGTGTTGATGTCTTAAATATAATTGTTTACTAAAAAACCATTAATAGCAAAACAATTAATAATAAATCAAAAAAGAGTGTCTCTTAACTTTTAGGAGACTGGGAACTGTAGTAAAATCTCTAAATCGTACATTACCTTTTTTGTTGTTTTTTGATCTAGCAATGTAAGTCTTTGCCCATTAAAGACGCTTCACTCAAACATATTAATTTTTTTTCTAATCAGATTTTCGGGTAGGTCTTGAAGCAACTAACAAACTTCACCACACTTTAGCGTAAACAAGAGCACTGTAACCTAAATAGACACTTTACAGCCTAAACAGCGACACTGTAGCCTAAACAAATCTGTTGTAACCTAAAAAGATAAGAAGTGCACTGTACCTTAAACAAACGCAGTGTAGTATAAACAGACGCACTGTAACCTAAACAGATGCACATCTAAGTTATTCATTAACTTGTTAATCATTTGGGATATTTTTGTTCTTCTCTTAATTTTGTATCATTACTTTTTTGTGTTCTTCTGTCTTTAACAGAAGTTTCTTGCTGAGTTGAAAGGTAAATTTAATAGTTATTCAACTAAATATTTTACAATGGTTTAAATTAGATGGCTAACTTACATTACGCTTGTAATATAACTGATTTAGGTTTTTTAAATGAAAGTTTTTTTAACTTTTTCTTGTCTTTACTGTAAAAAATGTCTTTCACAATTGATTGTACCTACCAAAACTCTCAAACAATATGTGTACTGTAACTTTAAACAAGTGTATATAAATACACCTTTAATGTAAGTACTGTAACTTTAAACAAGTGTATATAAATACGCTTTTAATGCAAGTACTGTAACTTTAAACAAGTGTATATAAATACACTTTTAATAAAATTTAAAAAAATATAAAACTGTTTTTAAATTTTTTATTTTTAAATAAATAAAAAAAGAATTGATTTAAATAATACATCTTTAAAGACTTTTATAATTAAATTTTTTTTTTTGTTAATAAATATTTTACCTGATCAGGAAACTGTCTTATGCTTTCCACTAGGTATTGATAAGATTTCCAATCTGAAGCAAACAATTCCCCCATTACTGGTATTACTTGGAATGAATAAGTGTCATATATGCTAATAAATAAATAACACTTATTTAAACATGAAATAGAATTCTTTATTGTATAATGACTTTTAAATTAGTAAGTCGTCGATAAATTTCAAATCCATAAAAAGTAGTAAAAAAAACACCTTCGAATTAAAGGGTTAGATACATTAGAAAATTCTAAACAGGAAAATCTTCCACCAGGTTTTAAAACACGATATGCCTCATCTAAAACCTTAACAGATAAATAAATAAAATAAATATTAAAGTTTATAACTACTTATTTAGTATTTTTATGAAATACGCCAAAAAAAAAAAAATCAAAAAAAAAACTTTATTATCATTACGCATCTCAGAATTGCTCGACTTTTAGATTTCTGAGAAAACTTTTAAAACAAAATAAAGCTGAAATTTGAAAAATAAATTTGAAGATATGATGTTATCAACGTTTCCACATATTAATACCTACATAAAATAAAAGGCTAGGTGCAAGATACAAAAGTTAAAATGTCATAAAAAATGTTTTAGTTATTAGATTTTAACTTTATTAGATATAATACTAATCAATTAAAAATTTATTATCTAAATAATAAAATTATTAACTAATTAAAGATTTAAAGTATTTATAGTTTTATAGGTCTACTTATTAAAACTCAATATATATTATATATATATATTGAGTTTTCTTCGCTGACAATTTTATCTCCGTCACACTATTTTTTGATCATCTCTGTTTTAAAAACTTTCTAAACTCTAAATTTTAGTTGTTTTTGAAGGTTTTTTTTAACTAACTTATGATAAATTTTCTTATAAAATATTTTCTTTCTTCAATAAAACCATATTGATACCTTATCAATATGTGTTGTGTTTCGTATACCAAATGCAATTGTATATAAATCAAATGACTCATCTTCAAAAGGTAAAGATTCAGCATCAGCACAAACCCACTTGAACTCTGAAAAAAAATCAAGTATTTTAGTTCTGCTAAATAAAAAAACCTAAACTCAATTACCAACAAATTAACAAGGTCTGACTATACCTTCTGCAATTCCTAACTTACATGCACGCTTCTTTCCAACATCTAACATTGCTTGATTTATATCACTTATAACAATATCAATAGTAGGTTCTGAAGATGGAGCATGATCCAACATTTTAAATGCTATATCCCCTATATAAATGAAGTAAATGCTATATCTCCGATATAAATAAAGTAAACTTAACAAAACTAAATGAATGTATATAATTTATACAATAAAGTTAATATAACAAAATTAATGTATATAAAAATGTCATCAAAAAGTAAAGATATATGGATTTACTGTAAATATAGATAGCTACCTTAAAAACTTAAAAATGTATTACAACATTTTTATAAGAACTTAAAAAATAAAACTAAATAGTTGAATAAATTCCAACAGTTAATACAAAAAAAGCATATAAATTCAAGTTAATTAAGACCTGTGCCTCCTGCCATATCCAAGATTTTCATGCCAGATTTAAGATTCAAACACTTAACAAAATATTCTTTCCATAACCTATGAGTTCCTGCGCTCATCAAATCGTTCATAAGGTCGTATGAATCAGCAACATTTTTAAATACATCATGAACTGTTTTTAAATAAAATTATTAAAATTATCATGCAAGTATTTACATTAACATTTTGTATTATCATTTTATTATTCTATACTAATATTTAAAACTAATATTCCGTTAGCATATAACAAACACTCACAATTATTGTAAAACAACGGTATCAACATTATATAAACAACAATATAGCAACTGTAAACAATTAAAATTCTATATAATTATTAACTAATAAATTCTGTTAAATTTATATTGCCTCATAAATAAATAATTTAACATAATTATGAACTATAAAATTAAACTTTTTTTTTGCTTTACATATATAGCCATTTAGATTGCAATTTTACATTGTTAAAAATATATATATATATATATATATATATATATATATATTTTACATTATTGATAACTCAATTTCTTCTTTTATGTTGTAAATAATATTTTAGTCATATTTTTACTTAGGTAAGACAAACAATAAAACATAAAACTGACCTTTTTCAGATTTAATGTTTTCTGCAACTTTTTCATATCCAAAATGTGTATATTGGACACCATCTTCCTGCGTAAAGGTGTTTTCTTTTTTGTTTTTGTATATAGAAGAATTAGATACTCTTCGTAAAGATTGAATAATAAGATTGGATTTAACATAGTTATGTTCTTTTGTTGTTAACAGTCTTTTTACATTACATAAACTGTTCCTTAATGAGTAAATAAATTTTCCAGAACTCATATTTTTTTTATATTAAAACTGTTATGAAGAAATGATGTTATTAAGCTGTTGCCAAGCCAATTTTAGTTCATAACTTACGATGCTAACTATTTTTTTATTATTAGATTTTGAAAACAGTTATAAAAACTGTTTTAAAAACGTCATATTTTATATATATATATATATATATATATATATATATATATATATATATATATTATATACATGCATATATATATATATGTATATATATGTATATATATAAATGCATATATATGTATATATATGCATATATATATGTATATATATGCATATGCATATATATATATATATTATATATATATTATATATATATATATATATATATATATATATATATATATATATATATATATATATATATATATATATATATATATATATATATATATATATATATATATATATTAGAGATGTGCCAGAACCATTTATGCCAAGTCCCAGATTGCGGTTACCTGGAAAAAAAAAACAGGTCTGAGTCCAGGTACCCGGCACTAAGTCCATATTAAAAAGGTGGAATAAAAGCCTAAAATGTCTTTAGCGCTGAATTGTTTTCAAAAAATAACACTGATTAATTTGTGCTAATTAAGTTTGCCTAAATACATCAAGTTTCTTAATATTAAATAATAATAAGTTGTTAATATTTGGAATAACTTGCCGCCTTACGTCATTAATGCCAAAATCATCAAGAGTTTTAAAATTAAAATCAACTCTGTTAAGCTAAAAAATACTGTTCCTAATTTTTGTTTCATAACTGTGTTATTATATACAATTTTTTTCTGTAATTTTTTGCTAAAAAAATCACTAATATGCGCTAAATAAAGTTATGTTATGGAAAATAAAAGATTAAGAGAGACAGAGAATTGCAAATAAAAAAGAAAAAAAAAATAGAACTTCTCAACTGTAGTGAGTTAAATAAAAAATTATTTTAAGTGAAACACGTCTATATTGAGTAAATAGAGCTTCGTGGACTCCATAATACTTTTAAACTTATATCAAGAAGTTTAATGGTTGAAATTAAAAATAAAAGCAATCCTGTTAATAATATTAAAGTACCACTTAAACATATAGTTATAACATTTAAGTTAAATGTTTATTAAAAATTTCTTTTAAAATACCCGGTGCAGTATCTGGCACTGGGTATCTTAAAAGAAATTTCTTTTAAAAAAAGGCTGATTCTGATTCTGGGTACCCAAAAAAACAGCTAAATTACCGGGTCCACGGGCCTGAACCAGGTAACTGGCACATCACTAATATGCATATATATATATATATATATATATATATATATATATATATATATATATATATATATATATATATATATATATATATATATATATATATGAATAGCAGAGTTATTATCTAAACATGCATTCATATATATATATATATATGAATGCATGTTTAGATAATAACTCTGCTGTCACACTGAAATTGCCTGCTGGCAGGGGCTTCAGTAAATACTTTATTCATAAAAAATAAAAACAAAGCAAATTTTTTGTTTGTTTTCATGCGTGAAAACATGTATACAATAAAATGTGTAAAAACAATTTTCTATAATACATTTATATATTTTTTTGTTATAAAAATAATCTAATTTAATAACCTAATTATTTCTTTACAAAATTTTAAAAATTGAAATGTTATTAACAACTATAAAATAACTATCATAAAATAAATATTTTATCAAATTCATCCTAACTTTAAATTTCTTTCTGAATGAATTCTAAAAATCTGTGTGAAATATGATCTGATTTTTCAAGTGAGGATTGTGCAATCGCAATATCATTCTTGATAGCGTCTACCAATTCTGTAAGAGAACCAAAATTTAGTTCAGGTCGAATATATCCAGTCATAACTATACGTAATGTAGATCCATAGAAATCACTATCAAACTCATGTAAAATATGTGTTTCCATTGATTTTTTCTCATTTTTATAAAATGGATTCCATCCAATACTGAGCACCATTTTGTAAATCTCACCATTATCTACGCGAGACCAACCGTAGTAAACTCCAGCACTCAGTTCACTTGGTATATCCTTAACAACTATTTCAGGAAAATTGGCAGTTGGAATACCTAGTTCTTTGCTGCCTCTTCCAAAACCTTTTACTACTTCTCCTTGTACCATAAAAGGAGATGTTTTCAATCTTCTGTTCAAAATTTCAAATGTATCACTCATATCTTTTTAAATTTTATTTAAACTAAAAAATAATAATTAAAAATTAAATTCATAAAACAATTATATTAAACAATATAAAAATATATTCTAATAAAGTCAATTTTATTTTAATAACAAAAAAATTCACAAATACGTCATAAAAATTACTCCTTATAAGATTTTAAAATGTGTACACAAAGTTATAACATTTGTTTAAAACTAGACAATCTAGGTCTTTTGGAAAAGGGGGCTAAGGAATTAGTAATTTAATTTAGTAGGGGCATTATTTAACTATAAAATATATAAATACAATGCTCAATTCATCTTCGTCTATTTTTTATAGAGAAATCTGGTTTTTTCAAAATAGTTTAGCTTACAAGGAAATCTGAACAACATGAAAGAGGCAACAAGATGGAAATCCCAACAACATATACATATATGCAAGACAACAACCTAATTTTATTGTTTAATATAATTCTTTTAATAGGATTTTTTTATTATTTTTTTATTATTTAAATATTTCTAATTTAAAAAAATTGATATCACAAAAACAGAGTTTTTCCTTAAAACTGCCATCTTTTACAATTAGCTAATTCTTAAATCTTAGGAATAAGATAACTGAGAAAAAAAACATAATAACTAATATTATTAATTAATAATAATAATAACTAATAATATAATTAATAACTGAGAAAAAAAAACAAAACAAAATAAAAAACTCATTTTTTCTTTGAAAAAGTCAAATATAGAATCAATTCACAAGAGATATCAATAAACAATATCACAAAATAGGTACTTTTTTTATAAAAAAAAATTAATGATTTTTGCAGGTTAACATGTTTCTTCCATACTTTTCTCCTAAAAACATAAAGCATAAAATAAAATATAGTTGTTGTAAAATTATATTCTTAAAATATATATATAATTATAATAATTTATAATTATATATATTGTATACAATAAAAATAATTTAATAAAAACAATAAAACTTATAATATAAGACAAAAAAAAAAAAATTTATTGATATAATTGATTTTAATTTAATTTCTACTCTAGTCTAAACAACCATAGATATGTACAATTACACTTTCTTACAGATAAATCTAAAATAGTTTTATAGACTGAAGAAAAAAATGCTTTTAGTAAATGAAAAAATATATTATATATAGAAAATTTATTTTTATATATAATATACTTTTTCATTTACTAAAAGGAATTTTAAGTATACTAAATGGAATTTTATTTTATTAAATATACTCTTTAATAACTGGTAAACTCATAGAATCATTCATTAACAGTTGGTCCCCTCAATTCCATAACTGGTAAACTCATAGAATCATTCATTAACAGTTGGTCCCCTCAGTATTACTATGTACTATCTACAAATTTTTACTTTTTGCATAGACTGTGTCTTAAGATAAAAAAGCAAAATGTTCTTTATATACTTTTTTCATTCATTTATAATACGGTTTTTATATATTTTCCACTTATATACTTAAGTCTATGTTATCGACTTTCTCTAAAGTGTTTTAATTTGTCATTGTTTTAACTACAAGTTAGTGTATTTAGCCAGTTTAATCATGTTTTTGTCATATCTAAAAAACTTTTTAATGTTATACTATTCAAAAGCGGCCAATAAAATTTGTACACTGTTGATCAAAATAGCAGCTCGTGAACGCCTATTTGTTGATTGTGATTCTAATGCAAATAAAATGACTCAATTACTAATTACCAGATTCTGAATCATAAGTAGATCTTGACTTTATACTTTTTTTAACATAATTTATCACTTCAATATTTTATTGTTAAAAATACCTTAATTAAGTAAATTTTCATTTTGTCATTCTAAATGGATAGAAATAAATCATTTCAATCCAGTTAGAATGACAAAAAATATTTTGTGGCATAATATCTAATGCCTGGTCTAACAATCTTCAATTTGAAATGATATGGTATTTATTTTTAGACACTGCTTTTTGAATATTATTCAGAATATAATTATTCAGATTGTTGTTCAGCAGATCGTTATTCAGTAATATTGTGATTACCATTCTTCAGATAAAAGTAGTAAGTGACTGGGGTTGAAACTTGACTGGGGCCAAGTTTGACAAAAAATAGTCAGGGCCAGGGCTAATGGTTTATAACCGGGGCTGCATTAACATTGATATAATTATATATATATATATATATATATATATATATATATATATATATATATATATATATCTATATATATATATATATATATATATATATATATATATATATATATATATATATATATATATATATATATATCAGGCTTTGGCATAAATCGGGAGCAATCGTGCTTGTCATGTTTAACATGCTCGTAAATGGAATATTTATAAATTATAGACGCGTTAAAAAACTTAATTAGCGAGCATTTTTTTTAAACGCTCCCTAAGTAGTCTTGCATGGTAGCCATAAAAGTTTTTCTATAAACTGTAGTTTTAAAATTTAAATAGTTTTAAATGCTAATAAACAAGATCTGAAAAAGTTTAAAAAACTTGAAGTTTTTTTTTTTTTTTTTAGTAAATTGCTTTCTCAATCCAAACCCAACCCTTAGTTGATATAGTAGCACTTCCGTGTAGCAGGAGGTTATAAGATAGTTGATGTAGCAACACCTCGCACATGTTTTAAAAATATTTTGAAACAATAAAAAAACAAAAACAAAAAGGCTCGCTAACTTCTGCAGAAGCTTTTTCAGAAAGCAATGGCAACTCCACTGACTATGTTGTTGTGCATTGCAAAGATCTTGCCCAACTTCTCAATAAACTGAGAGGATATCTAAAGACAGTGTCAAGCGCCAAGTGCTTGTGGCTATATCATAGGGATTTCCAGAAAACTTTGAAAATGTGAGACAAGTATTATCAATGATCAATTTCAATTCAGTCAACTTTATTGTCTCATGTGACATGAAACTTATCAACATTATATGTGGACTGCAAAACCACACACATTCTCACCCTTGCTTATGGTGCAACATTGAATCAAAGCATCTATCCCAATTAGGATCATTGAGAACACTTGGCTCACTTGTTGCATGCCATCAAGAGTTTGTTAAGTCTGGCAATGTCATTAAGAAAGCAAATTTTTTTGGCAATGTGGTCTATGCACCATTGCTGTCTGGATCTGAAAATAAACTCATCTTGGAACTTATACCCCCAATGGAGCTCCATCTGCTTCTTGGTGTGGTAAATCACATGTACAAAGCCTTGACAGAAGTTTGGCCTGGTGCTTTCAGATGGCCCTCAGCTGTGGAATGCCTGCCACAAGCTACTCAACAATATAGACATCCTCCAAAGGATTGCAGAGTCAGAGTCTACTTTTCAAGTTTTTGGAATCATTGATGCCCTTCAAAAATTTAAGTCTGTGGTGACAGCATGTTTTAGAATGATCCTTGAGGATGATTTTACAGAAAAAAAATGATCTCTTCTGGCAAAAAAAAGACTCATATCTGGCAGTTATGAACATCAGTGTGACCCCAAAAGTTTATGCTGTTTTCTTCCATCTGAAGCAATTCATTGAGATGAAAAAGGCTCCATTGGGGATCTTTAGTGAACAGGCAACAGAATCAATGCATCATCATTTTAGGTCACACTGGCAAAGGTACAAGCGAGATCGCAATCATCCAGAATATGCAAAGAGGCGTCTTTCTTGTGTTGTGGATTACAACAGCAAGCAATTGTAAAGAATCTAGTCTTTAGAAGAGTTTAAACTGAGAAAATTCTTTTTTTATTTATGAGAATCCAAAGTAGGTACAGTGTTTTAAGCAGAGTATCAAAAAAAAGTTTTTACAGAAAATTTGTTTTGCAGTTTCACATTTTTTGAAAGAATGGTTGTTTCAAATTTCTGTAAAATACCTATCTTTGCCTATGCTATATATGTTTAGAATAATAAATATTAGTTTAAGACTGTTTTTGAATGCTGTAAAAATGTAAAATTTGAAAAGCTGTCATTTCGCCAAATTGTGCAAAATGGTTAAAACTTAAAATCAAATTTATTTTCTCAGATGAAATAGTTGGATTACAAATTTTACATTTTTGGAGTCAGGAAACATTGTACTTTCACCAAGTCAAAGCTTTTTTTAGCGGTCAGCTCAAAGTAGTTGTTGGCAATTTTGTACAAGAGCGTCCTGGATGCAAACAGGTATGGAAGCTTTTATTAGTTTCTTTACATAAAGGTTTTGAGATTATTAAATCATTTTTTTTTAACCAATCTATTCAAGTCATTCTTGAAAGCCTCTGCTCTTCTAAAGTTAAGTAAAGTTTTACAGTAACTTTAAGAGAACTTTAAGGTTCTATATTTGCATTTGTATTGTCTACAATAACAATCTTAAATCTAAAATGGTTCTTTTTGAGGCTTGCTTGATGTTTGAGATAGGACATTGTGCTCCAACTTGAGACTCTAATTTAACAACTCCAAACTTAAGTATGTTCATATCTATGCCAAATGAGGAGGCATTGCAAAAAATTGGGATGGCAGAGTCCTGGAAACAAAAAAGCATTAAATGGCTTGCCCTCCACCTTCTGCCAAACATGAGGGTACTGATGTAGTAAAATTTTCAACTTTAACTAAATTTAAATATATGTATGTATGTATGTATGCATGTATGTATGTATGTGTATACATATATATATATATATATATATATATATATATATATATATATATATATATATATATATATATATATATATATATATATATATATATATATATATATATATATATATAAATTAGTAGAAAATCACTTAGCAAAATTTTAAAATTAATATATAAATTAGTAGAAAATCACTTAGCAAAACTTTAAAATTAATTAATATATAAATTAGTAGAAAATCACTTAGCAAAATAATAAGATTATATAAACATTCTGTATATTATTTGTTATTTATTAATATGCAGGGCCGTAGGAACAAAAATTATATTGAAGGGTGGGGGGGGGAGGGCAGTACTACTTCAATATAGTTTTAAGGACCTTTTTTTTTTTAAGTCATTTTTTCAGTCAATTTCTTTAAAATTATTTATTTGAAAAATTATTGTGGGGGGCGGGGGAAGGGGGGCAAATGCCCCTGCTGCCCACTCGGTTGCTACAGGCCTGATATGATATTAGTTAAGTTGCTAATATTTCAGAAGGTCGACATGGTTTTTAAAGTAGGGGGGGAGGAGCACACTCCCTTATTTTGTAAAAAAATCCTCATTTTCGAGGTTAATTTCTTGAAAAAAAAGTTTTCGATAAAAAGGAGTGGGGAAGGCGTTAGAGACTCGGTGTTATTAGCTATGTTTCACCTGTACATATAACTGACTTCAATGTTCTTACTTTTAAAGTCTGTGTAAGTATTAAATTAACTATAAGCACTATCAGTTAAATTAAAATAATAAAAATCACAAAAGAATCGGAATCGGTAAAGAATTGGAATCGCAATTGAGAATCAGAATTGGTATTTTTTGGAATCAGCCAAATATATATATATATATATATATATATATATATATATATATATATATATATATATATATATATATATATATATATATATATATATATATATATATATATATATATATATATATATATATATATATACATATATATATATAATAAATGTGAACTTGTTATGAAATTATTTATATTAATTAAAAAAAAGTTAATTATAAAAATACACATGTGAAAAATGATTAGCTAATGAGATAGAAAAATGAGTAGTAGTTTAAACGAGTTTATTCAAATTCAATAATTTGTTAATTAATTAATCCGGTGCAAAAATTGTTTTAAAACATAAACTTAAGTAGATTGAGTGGTTTTCAGCCAAAAAATTCTTTCCAACATGATCCAACAGCTTCATATTCCAAGTACGCCATTGACATGCCGCATTCTGGAAAACCATCGAAGCTCAGTGACCAGGACAAAAGTAGCATATTCAGAATCTGCAGAGAGAATCCTAGGCACAGCTACAAAAAGCTTGCTCAAATCTTCAACGAGTTGAAAAATAATCACGGGGAGATGGAAATGGCTAGAAGTACAATTGTGCAATATCCACATCCTCAACACACAGCAATTAACAATCCTTTATATGGTCATAACCTTGTCAAAATTGGTTCAGGAAAAAAAAACGTGTTGCTGGGCATGTATGAAGTGAAGATATTAAAAAAACAAAAAAAAAAAAACATGAATTTATAAAAATTATATATTTATCATTAACAAATGTAATCTATATATATAATAGATAAAACGCATCATTAGTTGAAATGGGAAAATTTTATTTTACTTATTTATTCATTTTTAATTTTTAATTATTTAATATAAATAATTTTGAGCATTATTTTATTCTGTCTGTTCTACTTCATATATAACCTGAAAAAACGTGATATTGCGCAGATATTATTAAAGCAGGTCACAAAGCTCTTCAAACATTTTATTATTATTTTATGCGTATTAATAAAATATTTTTAATTTTTTAAATTTAATTTTTATATTTTCAAAGTGGAGGGGGTCAATCCCTCAATTTCTATAAAATATAATTAACTTTTTTTAATTAATATAAATAATTTCATAACAAGTTCACATTTATTGTAAACCTAATTACTTTTTTAACATCATTTTTACTTTTTTTTTTTATTAAGAAAAAACTTGATAAAATATATATATATATATATATATATATGTGTGTATATATATATATATATATATATATATATATATATATATGTAAGATTTTTTACATATATGTATTAATTTTTTAACTTTTCTGTAAAAATTTCTAAACAACTCTAAAGTATAAATTAAAAAGCTTTTAAGATAAAATTAAAAAAAGCTTAAAATAATACAATATATTAATTCCAATATCACTTTAAAACAATACTTAACTATGTCATAAAGTATCTTACCCAGGAATAAAGAATAGCAGAAAAGGTTCTTTTATTTATAAGGCGTGATAATTTTAACTGAGTATTATTTTGAGTACGAGACGCTTTTGTTGAGTCTTCTTAAAGTAAAAAAGATATGTATCATATTTAACAAGAACCATTATTTAATAACTTTTTATATGCTACTTGTTACAAGTAGCATATAACAAGTAGTTACAAATACATACAATTTATGTTTAACATTTAAGATACATGCTTTTTTATAAAATCATTGATAAAAAAAGCACCTGAGTCCATTACATAAAAACTTGGTTCCTCATGTGGATAGTTACTTGAAACACGAATAAAAATACATATGTTGTCTCGACTGTTTTCTAAAATTAAAAAGGTAAGCTTTGTTGTAAAAATAAACGCAAAAATAGAATAATTAAATTATTTTACATTAAGTACACTTATGTTTTTCGGAAATGAAATAAAACAATTAAATTGTTTAACTTTAGTAAAATTCATGATGATTCATTTTTAGGTGTTTTAAGTAAAATCATTAAAAATAATTTTACCACAAAACCTAGCAAAACAAACACTGTTTTAAAACAGGAAAAAAAACTTGTTGTCAAAATAAAATCTCTACTTCAGATATTTCATACTGAATATTTCATTTCTTCTATAAGTTTCTGTAGAGTTTATCAAGTTTATCAAGCTACCCAACCTGTAATGGTGCCCAATACCCAATCTATAATGGTGCCCAATGCCCAATCTATAATAGTGCCCAATACCCAATCTATAATGGTGCCCATTTTATAACGCTGTCATTTTTTATCTGAATGCTTTAAACATATAACCTCTTTAAGGAGCTTTTAACAAATTTTACATATAGTTTAATGAGTTAAATTCAACATAGATCATTTACTTTTCTTTTTAAAACAGCAATACCTTGTCTCAAGAAAGAAATAATAGAGAAACTACTTTTAACAGGAAAATACTGTTGACTCCATGAAGTTTTTTAGTCAAATCCAAAGCTAACATCAATCTCGATTAAGAATTTTATCTTTAAGCCATACCCATTTATAAATTTTATTGTGTAAGCCATACTTATCAAAAAATTATATTTTGTAGACTAAATCTTAAACTATCAAAAAAAATTTTGTAGCACAGTGTGTAACAAAAAAAAAAAAACTTCTTTTTGAGTGCATAATGTATAATCAAGAAAAAAAAAAAATTGAATGTGGCAGTGAAAAATCCAGGATGAGGTATGTTTATATATACATTTATATTTACAAAAATCAAATCTTAATAAAAAAATAGATTTAATTACATCTAATAATTTAGAAAACAGCTGAACGACAGAATTTTTTTTTTTATTATTTTAATTCAATTCCCCAAGGTTGAGAAGGATACAACCCTCTCTTAACTCTTTATCTCCCAAACACAAACCTTGACAAACAAGGCCGATGCGCAGAAAAACAAGTTGAGCACGCTACTACCAGGGACATGGTAGGGATTGAACTTAGTCAAATTACTGAAGTTGTTGACCAAGAAGAGTCTCACAGAAGCTTTGAAAAACATTTTAGACAACAAAACTATCAGTAAATTGGTAAAGATATATAAACACACCAGCAAAACTCTAAGATTTTTAGGATCATGGAGAAAGCCTAAAACTTTAAGAAAGTAAGATTGTTACATTCTTAACGCCATCAAAAAAGATTAAAATTGGATGATCTGGCATAAAAATAGATTTGAACCTTAAAGTATCTCAAAGTTTACAACACCTAATTATATAAAAGCATCAGGTGAATTTTTTGGTGGCAAATAAAAAAAACAACCATATCCTGAGTTGGCAAGGCCAAGGTTTGAAACTAAAATACTGCTACACACTTTAGCTAGCACACTGTTCTGAATTTAATAGTTTGTAATTCTGCTCAGAATCTAATAGATTCTAATACTGCGTACAAGCTTATTGGGACCACTTAATTGGAAGAAAATTGAATTAGCATTAAAGAAAAAAAACATTCCAATACTATCGTGGTATTGGAATGTTGTTTTTCTATATAATATAACCAGTAAATGGCACCAATAGAGCTATAATGAACTAAATAACAATTATATGGCGACTATTTGAAAAATAGTGTGTTTTTTTTTATTGAATGAAATTTTTGTATAAATAGAGTTTTTTTTTTTTTTTCAGATACAAAAATATAAAAAATATAAAATATAAAAAATATAAGTGATATAGTTAATGTAAAAAACGCTTAAGATCTTAAAAATATAAGTTATAATACATATTCGGTATTATTCATCATCGGTATTATTTGCCATTGGATTACTGCTAAAAGCAAAAGTGAAATTATCTTCCAAGTTTTTATTCCGAATACTAAAGTTTCAACCTCAAATACAAAAAATTCACATGGTCAGTCATTAAAATAATAACTATTTATTGTAAAAAAAAACAAAAACAACTGGTTTTCCAGCGCCCCTTCAAGCTTGGCCATTGTTATCTTTTTTCAGAAAAAAAGATTAAAAAGGTGAATTTATCAAAAAAATTAAACATGTGAAAAATGGGTTAAGGTGAAAAGGTTCAACTCCTAAACACGCAATGAAATTTTTAAACATGATAAAAAGATTCATGTTTGGGGTTGATTTGGAGACAAGCATTTTTATCACAAAATCTTTATTAATCAACTTGACCCAAGTACAAAAGAACTTTTTCCAAATGGTGACTACATCTTTTAAAATGATAACTATTTCTAACATACAGCTCGGTTGAATAAAAGATAAAATCTAAACTGATTTTATCTTTTATTCAACCAGTTATGTTTCAGCCAGCACAGTCTTCTGATTTAAACCAATACAAAAAACTTTAGTCTATATTATATAGAAGCTGCAAGATCATGGGACATCAAGATGAAAATAAACTTTTTCAAATACTTCTTAATAGTTAGAATGCTTTGCCAAATGACTTAAACGCTAAACTTTAAATTAAAAATTTTTTATTGGTAAGTTTTTGATAAAAGACATATTTATTGAAATGTTTTTTATTCAGTTCCTTACAAAATTTTCTAACAAAAATTTATTGTTCTCAAAATTATGTATACAGTAGAAAATTAGTGAGTAGACTTGAAAAGAAAAATGCCTAAATAAGAAATTATTGAAATAAGAAATTATTGAAATTTTTCCCTTCCTAAATAAGAAATTATTGAAACTGTAAATTCTGCATATAATGACTGATTCTCAAGTAAATGGAATAAAAACTATGGAAAACAAGTTTTAGGTGGAATTACCCATAAGATAATGACTTGCAGAATTTTCTTATAATATTAAAAATAACTTGTATTAAAAAAACACATTTTTAATTGCAATAATTAAAAAAAAAATTTACTTAGACGACATATTAATGTAACACCAGCACTGTCTGCAGTTTGAGTTGAATCCAGTCTTATTTGAAAAAATTGTTGAAGTTTAGCTACCTCCATCTGCAATGAATGAGGTAACAATGACTTTCTTTTCTGCTGATTGCGTTTACAAGAACGCTTAAAAAGTGGAGGTGGACTAAATTCAAAAAAAATATATATAAGCTTCATGAATACTTTAGGTTCAGTTAAAATATATTTTTCATTAAAAAAAAAAAGAGTATAATAGAAAAAATAAAAATAAACAAGTTTTTCTCTTTTATTTAACAAAACAATAAAACTCACCATATCATCGGAGTATTCAGTGCTATAATTCCTGGCATTATATTTTGACGGGCCTCACTCATTAAATGCGCTGAGGTTATCATTGTTGTTACTACTTCTTTAATGGGAAATGTACTTGGTAATTTAGCAACAGGTGTTGGAATAGATTCAACAGTTGTTGTATCAGGTATTTGACTATTTGTGGTGTCAGCTTCCTAAACCAGACATTGTACAAATAGAAGTACAAACTTGTCTTATCAAAATACTTCAATTAAAAAATCTTAAAAAACCTACAGGGAACAACCTCTTAAGAGCAAATTCACATTTATGCAACATATTTGTAGAAACTCTAAAAAAGGGTACAATTATTTAATATGTATATATATAAATATAAATATAAATATATATATACATATATATATATATATATATATATATATATATATATATATATATTAATATATATATAAATATATATACATATATATATATATATATATATATATATATATATATATATATATATATATATATATATATATATACATATATACATACACATATAATATATACATATATATATATATATATATATATATATATATATATATATATATATATATATATATATATATATATATATATATATATATTGTTTAAGTGACATTGTTAATAGTATATTTTATATTTAATTGATAAAAAAAATCATGTTGATATTTTGGCTTATATAGTATAAGCCATTATTAAACTAAAAAAACTGTTATACAAAATTCATAAAAACTAAAAACAAAAATGATGTCATTGCAACATAGCTGATTTAGACTTGTTAAGTTTTCACAAAATATACTATATAAGACAAAATATCACTATTAAATAATAAAAATAATATATAACCGAACATGATTTTTATCAGTTAATTATATATAAATATATATATATATACAATTACTTTTTTTAAAAGCAATATGTTTTTTATTCTTGACATGTTTCATAAAATTTATTTACATTTTCAAAAGAATATTTTAAAATAATAAAACTCTGAAATAAATATTAAAAAATAGAAGTCTTTACAGAGAAATAATAATGGACAAAAATTATACATAATAAACAAATATAATAATTACAAAATAACTCGGTAAATAACCAACCAAAATAATCAACTGTCAAAAAAAAAAACTGACAGTAAAATTAAAAAGACAAGTTTATAGCATAATGTGAAGTTTGTTTATTAAGTGAGGGACTTTCCCATTTAATGTGGAGGGCTTCTTTTACCTTTAATTTGTGTTTGGTTGGGGCATTATCCACTAATTAATCACAGCTAGCCAGATTTTTGCAATTAATAGACAAATTTAAGTGTTTAAATATATGAGATTGTTTATCACTTTTAAGGTGCTCATTTATTCTAGTTGCCAAATGTCTGGAGATTTCTTTAATGTAATCTCTTTTTAAACTCAATACAATATAATCTCCTTTTAAATCTCCAATATAATCTCCTTTTAAACACCAAAATGTTATTCAAAATCTATCTTCATATACATTACAACATGATGAACTCGATTTATTAAATAATGGTCTTGGTTTCGCTTTGCCACCAGCATTTATAAAAAAGACTGATGTATTCGCTCAATTTGATTGTATTTTGCAATTTCTTAATAATCAACTGAAAAACAATGATTCAAAACCTCAACTTAAGAGTAAACTTTCCCATTTGGCTAACAATTACGTATACAAATACACTCCATCTAAAAATTGTCTAAGAAAATATAAAATATTAAAAAGACTTTGGAATAATGAGAACATTATTATTACATGACCCGACAAAGAAAATGGCATAATTGTTCTTAATAAAGTTGATTCTATAAATTCATTACATAATATTATAAGTAATAAGACTATGTTTAAAGAATTAAAAGAGGATCCAATTATAAAAAGAGAAATATCTTTACAAGGGTATCTTAGAAAACTTTATAAGCTTAAATGTTTTGAAAAAGACATTTACACTAAAATCTATCCTGTAGGATATTAACCTGCAAGAATTTACGGGTTACCTAAGATGCACAAAGTTAGTAAAGATAGTTCTCTTCCAACATTTCGACCTATCTTCTCAACAATTGGAACATATAACTAGAACCTTGCCAAATATCTTTCTCATTTATTACCTCCTCATATACCAAAACAATTTTTTACTTTAAACTCATTTTCTTCGTTGAAGAAATAAAACAAACTAATGTAACTAATAAATTTATCGTTTTATATGATGTTGAAAGTTTGTTCACGAATATTCCACTTAAGGAAACCATCAACATAGCAACTGATTTATTTTTTAAAGATAAAATTAACTCAAAAGGTTTTTCAAAAAATCACTTTAAAAAATTACTTTAGATTTCAACATCCGGTTCACATTTTCTATTGGACAAAAAAGTATTGTAATCAAACAGATGGTGTTCTTCTTTAGCGCCTATCTTAGCTGATATTTAGCGCCTATCTTAGCTGAAGGTCAAAAAAATTTAATTTGGGCGGTGCCCAAATCGATGCCCAAATACGGTCGACGCTGTCAAAAAGGGTCTAGAATAGCCCCTGGTATGTGAATGACATAATTGCTATTTTAAATTCTGAATATAAAGTTCAAGAATTTCTTAAACACCTCAATAAACAACATAAAAATTTGAAATTTACTATAGAAAAAGAACAAGATAACCAGATTGCCTTTTTAGATGTACTTATTAAAAACCCCAATTCGTTTTCAACTAGTCACAAAAAAACGTATTATAAGTCTTTTACAAAATTTTTTTAGTTTTATTCCCTCTTGATACAAACTTGGACTTGTTTATTGATTTGATTGATTTAACATTTAAAATTAATAATACTTGGGTTGGTTTTGATATAGATCTATCATTAGTTTTACAATAAAATAACTTTCCACAAAAAATTATTCTGAAATCAAATCTTATATTGATAAGAAAATGAACCCATCTATTTCTAACATTGTTAATAACTTAAATATAAGATACTTTACACTTCCATACACTGGAATGTACTCTAGTTATACTAAAATGAAAATTTCTAAAATTGTTCATAAATATTGTAAGGATGTTCTAATAAAATTAATTTTCACTACTAATAAAATACAAGATTGTTTTTGCTTAAAAGAGTAACTTCCTAAACTGCTTAAATCTCATGTTGTCTATAAATTTTCTTGCGCTGGCTGTAATGCCAGTTATATTAGGGAAACCTCCAGACATTCTGCAACTAGAAATGAGCACCTTAAAAGTGATAAACAATCTTATATATTTAAACACTTAAATTTGTCTATTAATTGCAAAAATCTGGCTAGCTGTGATTCTTTTGAGATTTTGGATGATGCCCCAACCAAACACAAATTAAAAGTAAAAGAAGCCCTCCACTTTAAACGGGAAAGTCCCTCACTTAATAAACAAACTTCACATTATGCTATCAACTTGTCTATATAATTTTACAGTCAGTTTATTCTTTTTGACAGTTGGTTATTTTGATTGGTTATTTACCGAGTTATTTTAGAATTATTATATTGATTTATTATGTATAATTTTTGTCCTTTATTATTTCTCTGTAAAGACTTCTATTTTTTTTATATTTATTTCAGAGTTTTATTATTGTAAAATAATCTTTTGAAAATGTAAATAAAATTTTAGGAATTATGCCAAGAATAAAAAACAGTGTTGTTTTTAAAAATAAAAACTTAAATTATGCTATTATGACAATCACAATATATATATATATATATATATATATATATATATATATATATATATATATATATATATATATATATATATATATATATATATATATATACAGGCCTTGTTTTAAAGCGTTACGCCTAGAGCAATTTTCGTACGCCTTAAGCCATTTTTACGTATGCGTAGAGCTGTTTTGGCTAAGCTACTTTTTATCATTTTGTAACTTTTAAATTAGCGGTAACATTAAAGAAGTAATTAATTTTTAAAAAAACCACATTAACTTTTAAATAACGATATGTAAAGATATTTATTAAAAAAAAGAATTTACTTTAAAAATAATTGTTGTCATTTTTTCATCGCGATATATCTTTCCTTTTTATAGCAATTAATTTGACGCTAAACTTTTTATCCAAATATTTAGCAACATGAAAAATTGTTTGTCAATCCTTAACTACAAATTTTTTGCAATTTTTTTAATAGAAAGTAGTAATTTTTTAAAGTTTTCAGTAAAAAACTTTAAAAAAACCTATATTCCATATTTATTAATACAGAATATTTAATGTTTTTTGTAATATAGATTTTTTAAGAATTTTTTACTGAATTTATAATAAAAAACATTTGCAAAAAAATTTGTAATTAAGGATTGACATTTTTTTTAATATCTCAAAAAATGTCTTAATATTTTTGTTATCATGATAACAAAAATATCAAGACATTTTTTCGAGATATTAAAAAAAATGTCTTTGCTTTTCTTATTAGTTAAAGGTATATAGATACCTTTACCTTTAAGTTATGCGGAGGGAAGGACCTTTAAGTTATGCGGAGGCACAGAAAAAAAAAAAAAAACCTGTTACTCGCACTATTTGAATGAAGACAATTTGTTAAATTTTTTCTGCGTGCGATTCTTTTTTTTTTTTTTTTTTTTTAACATCTTCACTTCCAACAAGGCTGCAAGCAACCACTATAAGAGTTGGAAGTTACTGGAAGAGAAAAGACTAAATCTGTAGAGCAAGATAACGATTGACTGATGACTTAAAAGATTGCAAATTATATGAATCAGGAAAGCAAGATGAAGGAAGCGAATTCCAAAGAACTGATGTTCGAGGAAAAAAACTAGAAGAATAAGAGTTTTTGAAGCACTTAGGAACAGTCACAGAAAAAGGATGAGACTTAATTGAATGGCGAGTAACACGAGAATGAATTTTAGTAGATGGCACAAGGGACGCTAGCTCTTTAGAGCAGTGCCCATTATAGTATTTGTAGAAAAGAGAAAGAGAAGCAACATTACGACGATGTGACAAAGGTTGGAGATTGGCTGCCAGAGCAGGTCCAACTATGTTTACAATTCGTTTTTGCACCTTGTCTAAAAGAGAAAGAGCATCACTAGAAGATCCGCCCCAGATGTGGCAACAGTATTCCATACAGGGACGGATTTGAGATTTATAGAGATAGAGAATAGAATCTGGAGTAAGAAAGTGTCGAGCTCGATAAAGAGATGCAACCTTAGCAGATGCTAATTTTGCAATGGATTTGATATACGGTTTAAAAGAAAGATCAGAAGTAAGAGTTAATCCTAGAAGATGAATGGTAGATGACTCATCTAGTACATTACCATTCATAAATATAGGAA